CACACCCTTCACTGAACTTGTCTCATTTCGTTGTGTTTTGTATGTTTTTAGACCTTCACGACAAGTTGATGATAAAGGAAAATTTAGTGCTGACCTAAGAACTTTGCAGACTCGTCATGAACAAGTCGTAGCAGAACTACAGAAAGATGCCATTGAAGCCCAGGCTGCATTGAAACAAGAACTAGAAAAACTAAAGCAGGAGAAGGAAGAGGTAGGTGTTGAGTGGTCGTTGCGGCTGTTTATGCAGSTCTTTTAAAGAATGAWTAGGTTTAAAYGCGCTCTCAGTGAGWAAAGTATGRAATTTACTAGCAATGAGCGAGCAATGTCACAATTTCAATTTTATTGTCAGTGAACGAGCAGTGCTAAAAATCCCGATAATCACTATCTGTGCTTTTTTCTGGTCTCGGAACCCGGCCCAACTGACTATCGATGTTATTATGTCAAGTGTCAAGTATATTTGATTTAGCTTTTATAAAGCAAAATCTGATCGTTATCCTGTGTTGAATTCTGAAATTTCTAGTTTATAAACTTATAATCAACGATTTTTGAAAATAATCCAGTCCTTTTAATTAACTGAATATATTTGGCGTAATTTATTTTAGAGTGAACTTCAGCTTAAACTCTTTAAAGATGAAGAATCAAAGAGGCTGCAAGTATGGAAAGCTGAGCAAGAGCAAAATTCAAAGGTAAATCATATTCCGWGGTTTATTTCCTTCCTCTTGGCTTATTTTTCGYATTCTTATTTTCGTCTTTTATCTCTCTTTTCTACTTAATTTTATCTCATATTAAATTAGCTAGAAAATTCTATATGCCAAGCAGTATTGTCTACATATGGTATGTATCCCGGCTTGACCCACGATCACTAGAGACACCTATACGTACTGTTGTGTATATGTAGGGTTTCTATTTATTTTATCHTTTTAAAAGTACACATTGCAAGGTCTGGCCTTCACAAAGAGACCAGCATTTGATATTTCTAAGATAAGTTGACCAAGGCCCAGCTRATACTCCGAATTATGAATAAGTGAATGATAGGCAACGTTGTAGGTAAACTGAATTTTTGAAAGTTTTTGTAAATATTTGGCTGTRGGAGGTATATATGCAGGGTACTACAGGGGTTTTCTGTCATCAGCCGTCTACTRTTCAGTCCGTTTTCACCCTTGGTCACGTGTATACAGGTTATGTCATGGAAAGTGCAACGTAAGAGATTTTCAGATTTATTCAGTGTTGTTTGTATCATAAAACGAACGAGCGAGCGAGTTTATGATTCAAACAACGAGTGAATAAAATCCCGTATAAAGAATTTAGATCGTAGAATCAGAATAGATGATAAAAGTGTCAATTTACCTTCGACCATTTTGCCAACAACGCGAAAGAGAAGCTGCTTTACGTTTGGCTGATTAAATTTTTTCTGTGTTATGGTTTTATCCTTCTTGTTTATATATGAAACAATAATTAGACTGCATTTGAATTATTCATACATATGTGATTTTCAGCTTATCTTCATTGTACAAACATACATTACAATTGATGTTGATCTAGTACATAGTTTGTCATAACATTATCGTTAAAATTTGCAGGAAAAAGAGGCTCAACTCAACGAAGAAGTTCATAATCTTAAAGCAGAATTATTGAAGGTTGATAACTTATTGTACTTTTGTTATTATTATTATTAGTAGTAGTAGTAGTAGTAGCAGCAGCAGCAGCAGCAGCAGCAGTAGTAGTAGTAGTAGTAGTAGCCGTAGTATATTATTATTATATGTCGAATGTAAGAATGTATGTTTGTATTTATGTCGACTATAAGAGTGTGTTTTATTTTATTTCGACTGTGAGAGTGTATGTTTGTATTTTATGTCGACCGTAAGAGTGTATGTTTGTATTTTATGTC